ACATTTTTTACGAAGCTCTACGTCGACGTGTCTTTAATTATTGATCATGCCTGGAATATACCGCAATTTTTCAGAAACAAATCCACACAGAGTCAAGTCACGTTTCTGCAATCTATTGATAGACATCGAGAAAGATATTTCTCGTGTGATAAAAGTATTATTTTATTTATAATCTTATTTGCTGTTATTCGAAATAGTTGCGCGTAGAGCTCCATATATAGAGACTAAAACTCGCCCCCCTCTTTCTCCCTCACCCCTCCTTACCACTCTCATTCTTTTGCATTTGAAATAGCAATTCCTCTTTGGCAAAGAAAATTTGCGAGTTTTATCGATAGAACTCAACTTTTATGTCACATTCTCTTTAATCATAGTCTCATCTGTTAATTCGTATTTTCGCGTATTACAGGGCAGCATCGAGTGTAATTTTCTTCCTCGAAGTAACCTGGGCTATCACATTATTCGTGCAACTCTGCGTCAGGTATATTTTATCTTGTAATATCTGAAAAAAATTGTGGTATCGAATTTTATTTATATTTTACTTGATTAATATACAAATTTATTTATAGACTAACGTAAGAGATAAGATAATGACATATTTGTAAAAATATCATTTATATATATATATATAAATGATATATAATATACGTATAAATTATTTATACAATTATGTATACATAAATTATTTATAAAATATGTAAAAATTAAGCAGATAAATTTTAATATACGCCGTTCCACGGTATAACGCGACGTACAAACGCCATGGTGAATATGTTGGTGCAACTTTGCAAATTGCCCGTGCATGTATATCGGAAACGATAAACCAGGCGGACACGAGCAGAAGGTTGAAAGGGCTCCGGGGAATTATCGTTCGAGGTCTGAACAGGATAACACGGAAAAGAAGCGGCGCAAAGCCAGCCCCGGCAATTACCAAGCAGGTCGGAAGTTCGCCCCAGTTTTCCCCGCATTTTCTCCGGCGAAAGGAGCGAAGAAAATGCGCGGTGGACTACCAGCAACTAGATAATGCTTCGTGATGCGGAGGATTGGTGATGCGCATAGTCATCTTTAAGCCAGATAAATGCCACTTAAAAGAGTCTTAAAATGAAGATGAAAATTTTCTCGCGAACTTCGAAGTTAAAGAAATGTTTAATATTAATTGAGAAACTGATTATTCTATTCCAATGTGTGTAAATGTGCCACAAGTTTCTCATTAACAATTGACTTATTTAAAATGTCTTTATCTTTATTTTCTATCTATTTGTTATTATATCTTTCTTTGAATAATTAATATTAATAAACTTTGTCAAATTTTTCGATATATAAATTTAGCTTTGATCATCACATGATCGATCGACTAGTTTTTGCCATCCAAGTTGCTCATATCGATCAGCATGGGATGACGTCAATGAAACAATGTCACCAGCATTCTTTGCGGGTTAGTGGGAGGAAGTAGTAGTAAAAGAAGTTCTACACGGTCACGGTTTTATCCAGCAACTTAGCTTAGCAATTCACTCGGAATCGACGATGCTGTGGAAGTTTATGTTCTCGGTGACAGTGCCATTAAAACTATCGTTCGGAGCGATCGATCACTCCGATCTACGCGGAGATGGGAGGATCGGATGGGAGGAAGGAGAGATAACGTCTTCGGGAAACCGGAGTAAATAATTTTCAACGGAGATATCTTCCTTTATATCCGTTCATCGGGCAGGGATAAAGCTTCATCAGATCTCTCTTTTTCCCTATGTCTTTTTCCGAAGATAATTCAATTAGAAATTATTTCAATGAGTTATTCAAGAAATATCGAAAGATGAACGTATCTCTCTCAATTGATTTTGCCGATTTTCTTGATTATCTTTCAAAACCTAAAAAATCGCTTGCCTTCGTTTTAAAGCCCGCGCGAAAATTATTGTCGCTCATTCCTTTTCCTTATATAGACTTAATTAATAGTAATAATTTTAATTATCCACGAGCTGATTATAGTTAGGCGAGTTTATGTTTGCTGATTTTGTAAATTAGTAATAGTTCCGAAACGCACACGATAATTATCTATGCGGAAATTTCTACGATAATTTCCGAGGTTTCGTAATTTCGGTAATTTCCGAGGCGAATCGTTTCCTGGCAATTTTTTTCTCGATACGATTACCGCTGCGAGTCCACTGAATTACACCGCAAGTGCAATCACTGATATACTCATTAATATATATGCCAATTAGACAAATGTTTTATACAAATTAAAAAGATACACAGTAATTGCAATTAAAATTGGTTGTTACATTTGTAAGATATATGTAATAAATCAAGTTTTTATTTAATAGTTTTGTTTTAATCATTTTTCTAAATAATTTAATAATTTATTAATCTTGAAAAGCGGCGAAAGCCTCTATTCGATACGAAGGGTTATATCGAAGAGAAAATATTATACCGTTCTGCTTTTTTAAATGAGAATACATAATCCATAATTGATACATAATCAGAAACCGTCAGATAACTCATACAAATACTTTTACAATATTTCCGTATGCCAACTATTTAAAAAACATCTATTTATTGTGAAAAAGCGTAACCAAAATATCAATTATACTGATAAATAGAATTAAATGAAGTATAGTATAGAATTGAAGTATAGAATTAAATAAAGTATAGTAGAATAAGAAATTAATTTGATAAAATTAATTGATTTGAATAAAATTAATTGATTTGAATAAAATTAATTTGATTCTGAACACATAATTAGATTCAATAAAATAGTAATAGTGTAAAATAATGTTGACTTGCTTAAGAAATTTAGTCATCATTAATTCAGTATAAAGTTTTAAATATGTCAAATTATTTAAACTCTCTATTTATAATTTAAATAAAGAATTTTTCATTAAAAATGATTTAAATCACAAATAAGAAGGAAAAAGGCAATAAACGTTCGTATTATTAACAACGGGTTAAAAAATTACATATTCCTTTGATAAATCATATCATAATCCAAACGTACATTTCATATTTTAAGCCACCTTAGCGAACAAAAATAGACAAATGTTAAATTGATGCAAAGTGTCATGTCGTGATCCTTCTGGTGATGTAAATTTATGCATCCTGAATTGTCCAATACAATTGTATACCCGATGGAAAAGTATATGTATAAATAACTAGAAAAATGTTGTTCTAAGTGGTTGCATTTAGTACGAAACCGAAATGCCAAATTATATAGTCGAAACGTATGGATCACTCAGATATCACAAGAAAAGTATATATAAAATACACACATGCATACATGCACGCACACACGCACGCACGCACGCACGCACGCACGCACGCACGCACGCACGCACGCACGCACGCACGCACGCACGCACGCACGCACGCACGCAACGCACACACACACACACACACACACGACCACACACACACACACAC